ACTGGACTAGGATAGGTTGTGGGACTAGACCCAGGGCAAATTTCTCACGGGCTTCAAACAAATGTCCTTCTGTTCTTACCACTCTCTCTCCATGCCTATCCTGACTTTTGACTCTCTGAACCAATCACAGTCTGCTTTTCGTGTTGGTTCAATTTAAAGGTTTTATAGATTAGTATACAGAAGAATATATGAAGGCTCAAAATATGAAGGTGGTTGAAAGCTAATATGGTTGCATGATTTAGGGCAGTGGTCGGCAAACTGCAGCCCCTTGAGTGTGGCTCGTCCACAAAATACCACGTGCGGGCGCGCACGTACAGTGCGATTGAAACTTCGTGGCCCCACACTCAAGGGGCCAAAGAGCCGCATGTGGCTCGCGAGACGCAGTTTACCGACCACTGATTTAGGGAATCAAAGATCAGGACAGGACCTGTCAGCGTAGCTCAGTGGCTGAGCATCGACCTATGAACCAGGAGGTTCAGGGCACATGGCCGGGTTGTGGGCTCAGTCCCCAGTGTGGGGTGTGCTGGAGGCAGGCAATCAATGGCTCTCTCATCATTGATGTTTCTCTCGCTCTCTTTCTTCATCTCTAAAGTCAATAAACATATACTTTTTAAAAAAAGATCAGGACAGACATAGCAGGCATGTGGTAGGAACAGAATGTATTGCCTACATTTATATTTGAAAGAAATGGTTAAGTTTTTCTAAATTCTGCCCCAAAGGTCTATGGACTCATAGTTAAAAATCTCACAAAAAAAAAAAAAAAGAGGAGAATTTCACATTACAGGTTCCTCTGATGGTCCTCTGATTAGAGTGGCCAGAGCAGAGGTATCTCATGCCTGCCTTGGGGCATCTGCTCTGTCTGTTTTCTTGCTTGAACCACTTTCCCCTTGAAATCCATTTACCCTTACCTCCCGCAGTTCTGGGCTTCAATTTCACCTTCTCAGTGACACTACCTTGACCACCTGATTTAAGAGTCTACACACACACACACACACATACACACACACACACAACACGCCACCCAATCACTCCCAATCTCCCTTGATCTACATTTTTCCATAGTACTTTCTACTATTACATAGTTACTTTGTTTATTGTTTATTGTCTGCCTTCCCGCCCTCACTAGAATTTAAGTTCCACATGAACAGCGATTGCTATCCACCGATAATCTTGCAAGTCAGGAAGACCAGCTCAGATTCAGCGGGGGGAAAGAGATTCCTCCTCTTTGGATGAGCTACAAGATATTCTGGTGTTTTTTTCTTTTAAGTCTATTATGTATGTTTCAAGCGATGTATTGTTAAGTCTCCGGTTCTTTGAGCATTTTCATGTATCATGTAATCACTTACTGCAATCTGTGTAGTCTAACAAGTATGATTTAAAATTGGTTTGAAACTCACCTATTTTGGAAATGTTTAAGATAAAAAATAGGTAACTTCCAGAATAGGAAAAAAAAAATAAGTGGAATAAGAGAGTGTTTAAAATTAGAAACTGCTGGGATAACTGTGTCAAACAGTAATGTTAACAAACCAACCTAATTTTAGTGCACTACATTTTTAAAACACTCGACTCTTATCCATCTGGCCTATAATAACAGACTGCTCTTCCAAGGAGTTGTTTGTTTATGATTGGCCCAAAGTACCACATTCAGGTTCAAAGTCATATTTGTTTTTGTCTCACTTGATTGTTGATAACTAATAGACATCAGTTTGATAAAATTCAAAGTTGATCCCTGGCCAGTTTTGCTTAGTGGATAGAGTGTCGGCCCTCGGACTAAAGGGTCCAGGGTTTGATTCCAGTCAAGGGCATGTACCTCAGTTGCAGGCTCAATCCCCGGCCCTGGTCAGGGCACCTATGGGAGGCAATCAATGGATGTGTCTCTCTCACATTGATGCTTCTCTCTCTCTCTCTCTCTCTCTCTCTCTCTCTCTCTGTCTTTACCCCTCCCTCCCATTCTCTCTCTCTAAAAAAAAAAAAAATCAATGGAAAAATAGCCTCCGGTGAGGATTAACAAGTTGACACAAATTGGCCCTGGCCGGTTTGGCTCAGTGGATAGAGCGTCAGCTTGCGGACTGAAAGGTCCCAGGTTTGAATCTTACCAAGGGCACATGCCCGGGTTGCGGGCTCGATCCCCAGTAGGGGGTGTGCAGGAGGCAGCCAATCAATGATTCTCATCGTTGATGTTTCTATCTCTCTCTCCCTCTCCCTTCTTCTCTGAAATCAATAAAAATATTTTAAAAAATTGACACAAATTGAATCTTATCCATATGAATAAAGCATTAGACACAGTCTACCTCTTCTACCTTGGAGCAGGACTCAGAACTATGTGGTATCTCCCAAAAGCAAATTCAAGTTCACAAAGAGTATTAACCAGTAAGGTACATTTTCTGAAGAATCTGGAATAAAACACAGGCAACATATAGTAAAACAATACAAATGTTCAGTAGCCGTTTCTATTTTATTTTTTTAATATATTTTTATTGATTTCATAGAGGAAGGGAGAAGGAGAGAGAGATGGAAACATCAATGATGAGAAATAATCATTGATTGGCTGCCTCCAGTATGCCCCCTACTGGGGATCAAGCCTGCAACCCAGGCATGTGCCCTTGACTGGAATCGAACCCAGGACCCTTCAGTCCACAGGCTGACGCTCTATCCACTGAGCCAAACCAGCTAGGGTGGTTTCTATTTTCTTCATGAAGTTCCTTTTTTAACCAGTCTGTTAGCCCTCAGATATTTATTTTATTGTTCTAAGTAGTTCTATTTTGTTTTCTATCAAATATTTGCCCCCAGATAAGTAGCTCTCTTCCTAGGAGAGGAATCCTGTTCTTTCAGTTGTTCCGTTCTGCCACCGTGGCCGGCTGGCTTTTGTCTTTACGCTCATGACCTCAGGTTAACAACATGGCTGCTTCAACTCCAGCTCTCATATCTGTGTCTGTGTCCATTTAGCAGGGAAGGAAAAGCCTTCCCAGAGCGCCTCTACGCCAACTTCCCTGGTAAGGTCTGCGTAAGTGAGCGTAAGTTATTGGCACATTGCTGTGTCAGACGTAATTTGGGTTTAAGTAAAAAGGAGGCAAGGATCTTGAGTAGACAATCAGCAGTGTCAGATACAGCTGAGCTCTCTATGGGCGGATGTCCTGGTTCTGGGGCCACTGATTGTTTGCTTGGCGTCTGCTCCTAACACATGCTCTGTCTTGGTTCAGTCAGGACTCGGTGCTTCCTCCTGCTGACTCAGCCTTTCCCCACTCACTGGCGCAGCAGGCACCCCTGAGTCTCCACCACATGCTGCTACTGTGGGTCCCAAAGCAGCCACACAAAGCTCTCAACTGCCTTTCACGACACCCAGTGTCCCAGGCCTAGAAACGCAAACTGGATCTTCCTTATGACAACCTCCCCCCACCCCTCACCCCTGTTGTCTTTTTTTTTTTTTTTATTGTTTAAAGTATTACAAATAGTAGTACATATGTCTCCTTTTTTCCCCCCCATTGACCTTCCCCCAGCCTTCCCTAACTCCCGGCACATGCCCTCCCTCCCTTCCCTGCACGCCCCCTCCCCCTCCAGTGTCTTGCGTCCATTGGTTATGCTTATATGCATGCATACAAGTTGGCATGGAGCCATCATCCTGCCTAAGGGTTGTCATCCAGACTCTTGAATGTGGAAATGCTCTTGTTCTGGGAACCACCCTCTTCCCTGCCCCAGATCCCAACCTGTGGCTCTGCCTTACTTTCTCTCTTCCTTTTTTCCCATCAACTCCCAGGCCTGGAAGTACAACATCCTCTTATTTCTTCTATGCTGTACCCTCTTTTTCCCTATCTCCAATCTCCTGGTTAAGTCTTTTATACTTTTATCTCTATGTCTATCTCTATATCTATCTATCTATCTATCTATCTATCTATCTATCTATCATCTATCTACCTATCTATCTATCTATCTACCTATCTATTTATCTTATTGATTTCAGAGAAAGGAAGGGAGAGGGAGAGAGAGATAGAAACATCAGTGATGAGAGAGAATCACCAATAGACTGCCTCCTGCATGCCCCACACTGAGGATCAAGCCCACAACCTGGGCATGTGCCCTGACTGGGAATCAAACCGTGACCTCCTGGTTCATAGGTCAAACCTCAACCACTGAGCCACGCCAGTCGGGCGAGTCTTAAATGTTAGACAGGAGACTCTTCTGTACATCATAGCAGAAACTATGGCCTTCCAGGCCCTTGGTAGGACACATGGGAACTGAAGGAGCTTTCTTTTTTTAAAGGTATAATTTTTTGATTCTTTTTTTAAGGTATAATTTTTTGATTCATTCACACTGGACAGCTATTGCTGTTTTGGTGGTTGTCATTTAAATATATATATATATATATATTAATATCTTTTTATTGATTTCAGAGAGGAAGGGAGAGAGCAGAGAGATGGAAACATCAATGATGAGAGAGGATCATTGATTGGCTGCCTCCTGCATGCCCCTCACCAGGGATCGAGCCTGCAACCTGGGCATGTGCCCTTGACTGTAATTGAACCTGGGACCCTTCAGTCCACAGGCTGACGCTCTATCCACTGAGCCAAACCAGGTAGGCCCTAGCTGCTAGGGCAAAATATATATATTTTTATTGATTTCAAAGAGGAAAGGAGAGGGAGAGTTAAAAATATCATTGAATGAGAGAAAATCATTGATTGGCTGCCTCCTACATGCCCCCTACTGGGAATTGAGCCTGCAACCTGGGCATGTGCCCTTGACCGGAATCAAACCCGGGACCCTTCAGTCCGCAGGCCGATGCTCTATCCACTGAGCCAAACCGGTTAGGGCTAAAGGAACTTTTAATAACCCTTTCTCTCTTGACAATGCTGGAATACAAAGCCTATTTTTTCCTCTGTAAAATTCTGTTTTGGGTTGCACAACATTGGAAAAGCAACTCATGTATGCTTAAAAATGGTTAAAATGGCAAATTATATGTATTTTTACCACAATTTAAAAACAATAACGTAACATACCCTAAATCATTGAATTGTACACTTTAATGGGTACATTATAGGGTATGTGAATCACATCTCAATAAAGCTGTTACAAAGATCCTGTTTTGAATGTCAAAACCTGAATTCCTTTTTTTTCTTTGTTGTTCTTGGGTAACAACTCGGCTTCACTTTCGCTCCCATCTTCCAGGCACAGCAAATGGATTGTTTAGTGTCAAAGTCAGGTATAAGGAAAAACAAGAGAAGAAAAGAGCATTAATTTTGGCTTAAAATAAATACTTCCATTAAGTACATCTATATATATAAAAGCCTAAGCGACCGAATGAGTCGACCAATCGCTATGACATGCACTGACCACCAGGGGGCAGGCGCTCAATGCAGGAGTTGCCCCCTGGTGGTCAGTGTGCTCCCACAGCAGGGGCGCAGCTCAGCTGACCCAAGGGTGCCAGAAGTGGGGCTCACAGCTGGTGAGTGCAGCTGTGGCAGCAGAGCTTCTCCCGCCTCCTGGGCAGTGTTACTGAGCAGATGCAGGCGCAGCAAGGCTTGGGCTCCTCCCCGGCCGCCTGCCGCTTGGAGCACTACTACATCCCTTGGGGGATGTCAGACTGCGGGTTTCAGATTTGCAAGAGGGCGCAGGCCAGGCTGAGGGACCCCACTGGTGCACGAATCCATGCACTGGGCCTCTAGTACAGTGATCGCCAACCTTTTGGACCTCATGGACCACCAGTGGTCCACGGACCACCAGTTGGCGACTGCTGCTCCAAAGGTTTCCTTAAACCAGCGGTTGCCAACATTTCGGACCTCACAGACCATCAGTGGTCCGTGGACTATCAGTTCACAACCGCTGCTCTAGTATATATATATATTCTCCTTTGCTTATTTAAAAAAAAACAACACACCAGCATTATATATTATGCACACTGAATGGC